AGTGCACATGAAGTTGGAGAAACTCAAAAGGTAAGTTAGTCGAAACTGTTACCTGAAGCACGCTTTCTCCCATTATTATGCGTTTTCGGTTGGATTGGTCGCTGACGAGGATGTGAGTTCTAAAAAGTACCAATATTTATGTCGAAAAAAGTAATTTTAAGTCAAAATCTTACCGAATGCTGCTGCTGATGTTGTTGATTTTGTGGCGTCGGCGTTTGTCTAGCAGATGGAGCGTTAAGTATCTGCTGTACCACTGATCCGGAAGTATTACTTCCGCTGGCAGTCGATGGATGTTGAGCATGTGGAGTGGACACATTGGACAGCACTTGCGGTGGTGTAGCATCAACGGTCTGAATAGGCATTATTCGATCAGAATGACATAGCATAGTTGTGAAGAGAAAAATTGGAAACAAGCATTACGTGATCCTTGACTGAAAAGAAAAGTGAATCCAAGTGGTTCCCCGTTAACAACTAGATTCGCTGATATTCAACGTATATACTATAGCATATATTATTTGATAAATTATATATATAATACTTCCAAGATGTACTACAGATGATTATGCACAGCTCGTAAAATTTCAAGAATTTCCTGATTGAAAGATGTGTTTTTATTGGAAGGTGACAAAGATGATGAAGAACCAATACGGACTTGAACAAAGTGCTGCAATATACTAAAAACAAACGAATATCCAATTTCCGTTTCTTTCCTACCACTAGACGGAAATTAGACAAAGATTACGACCTTCCCCGGAAGTCATCAGCAAGTTGAAATGGACAAAAAATGTAGGAAAGCCGCAAGAAAAATTATAGTAAGATGTGCATTAAACGAATTCTACGAAATATGGAAAAAAACAACGCTTCAATGATAAGACATGAAATAGGTTGTGATCGAAATAGAAACCTCGCGGCTATTCTGGCTATAAACATTGACTGGATTTCTGCACAACTCCAGATGGTTTTTGAACCATAAGCAACTCTGTAGTCTCCCTTATTCTCAATG